TGTATATTGCCAACAAAGTTGTTGCGTTTTTTCTTTTTGTGTGCTAACAGTTTTGGCAGTGTTTCCGTATTGTAGCATTTCTGCAAACAATTTCTGTTGCCAAGGTCTGAGCCGAAATTGTCAAAAACAGAAATTGTTTGCTGGGTCGTTAACCAACGTAGTGCGCAAAATCACATAAAGTGCAACATCAGCAGTTCTCCTCCTCCATAATTAGAAAAATTGTTTAAAAGCCAAAGTACTTTACGATAGATAGCATTTGTCTTTTGTTGATTCTACAAATTACATTAACATGGTTGTGCCAACATTTGTGGATCTGCAAGAATTTATCGCCGGAAGGAGATTTATTAGATATACGAAATATTGCGAGACAAACTCCAAGTGCCTCGGTGGCCTAACAGGGAAGGCGACGGCCCGGAAAGCCGGAGATTCCAGGTTCGACTCCTGGCTGAGGAGTTTTTTTTCGTAATATTTTAAAATTAGTTCGGGGTGTATATGGGGTCCTTCATACATAAGATGCAAGTATAGCATCCTGTATGATTTTATGAATTGAAATTTCAATTCAAAAAACACGTGAAAACGTGAATTCGTTTATATGTGCATACACGCACATATATATATATATATATATATATAGCACATTCACGCACAACATCCCGTGAACGGCTCTTAACGTCCCTATTTTCAGATATTATTAGTTGAGATTTATTGTCAAGGAAGTATTGCGAAGAGGTACTGTTTTCTCGCATTACATTTTCAGAAGTCCCTTTCCGTGGAGTCTACTCGCAAGATCAGACAGGTCTGCAGCTTCTTAGTTGATGATGCATCATCACGGCTTGCATTGAGAGGATGGAAACGTTGCATATCGTAGAGCAAAGAATTTAATTAACAACAGCTGTTTGTGGCACCGTAGAAAATGATGACGACACATCTCATCTCGTCTATGTTAAAGGTCCCGAGAAATGTAACGGGCTAACTGATATTCTTGGTACTGACATGCCACATGGACTAATTATAGAGACATTAGATGCGAATTACGACGCTACTGTTTCTTTAAATAAAATGAATGTATTGAATTGTCTACGATGTGAAAAACATTTGAACCACTGCGCATTACAAAATGTATTTAAAATATTTAATTGGTGGTCTGAACGACAATAAACTGTTATACGGCACATCATTGTATTTGTACATTTATTACCCTAGATATAGCATATTCTCCATATATGTATTATTTTTTATATAGATTAATCGCGGTTTAACATGGTTTCCTAGTTGAATATAGTTCGTTTATGGTTCGATTATGGTTAAACATGATTCGTTCGCGGTTTATGTGTGGTTCGATTACGGTTAAACATGATTCGTTCGTAGTTTGATTATGGTTGAATATGAGTATTTCGTGGTTCAACATGGTTTGTTTATGGTTTATATATACTTTGATTATGGTAAAACATTCTCACGGTTTATGTATGGTTTGATTATGATTAAACATAATTCACTTGTGATTTATTTGTGGTTCGATTATGATTCAAACTAATATACTGTATTAAACAGAAGAATAATATAGAACTGGGAAACAAGTAATAATTAGACACAACATTTAAAGTATAAAAAACTTATATTTTATTATAAACTACTGTATTAGACAGAAGAATAATATACTTAATATAACAATGTATCTATAAATGCAATATAACTATACAACAATATGTAATATAAAAGTATACAAAAATGTTATGTGTTATAAACTAGTGTGCCACATCGAACGTTTAGTTGACAAATTTGCTGTTAATCGTGATGTATCAGTGGTTCTGGATAAGACAATATATAACTACTCTACGTATATACAAATATAATATTATAAACTTAAAACTATTGTACGTAAAACATTATACGTAAAATATATATGAATATACTCAATATAACACCATATAAAACTGCTATAACAATAAAATATGGTACAATCTGTCGTCGCAATACGTTAGTATTTTCATCCAACTTCTCATATACTTTTTCGGATGGATTGTCTCGCATACAATATGTTCCGTTTGATATTTGATGCTTTCGCGGTGTGTAGTATTAACATACAAAGATGTTTTTTCGGGTTTGAACCGCGTTAGTGTCATTTTTATACCGACGTTTCGTGAACATTACAGCTCACTTCATCAGGGTTTGAAGAGCAGCCTGATACTAATATGTTCCGTTATTGACAACGCTTATGTAATCGCGTCCTTTGCGAACAATCAGGAACGGACAATATTCAAACCACTTTGCATGTTGCTCCCAGGGAACATCTTCCGGGTTCCAATCTCTCAATGCTCCTCCGCAATAATAACATAACGTCTGATCATTTTTTTCTGTGTAATAAAATCCAGCGGTTGCTAGATCGTGTTTGGTTTGTTTAGATGATTTTGGCCATGCTTCATATGTATTGATTCTCGCTTCATAAGTCTCAAATCGTGAATACTTGGGTTTTAACAACGTTCTGTTTGACATTCCGATGTTTTCGATGACATCATCATCATCCAGATTGGAAACGGGCATGAAACTTTTAACAAATCGACATGGTCGACATCGTCTGGACCATTGTTGATGATCGGCCATTGGATTGTCGCTCGTTTCCCACTTGCTGATTTCCAGTTTACATTCAAAACATTTTACCTTATCTTCTTTCCGTGTAATAAAACCCAGCTGCCGCCAGTCTTTCCGGCTTTATCCATGAGCACGGCCAATCTTTGAAACTGGCTAATCGAACAGACTCGAATTGATATTTTTCTCGGCAGTTCTCCGGACTATAACTTTTGGCCATTATGACAAATAAATTCTCTTTTTTATCTTTGTAAAAAACTGATGCAAACTACGAGCTTTATACTGATTTCTAGATGCAAACTACGAGCTCTTAAATACTACTTTCTCCACCGTTTCTATCAATTTGATTGGACAAGAGATAGCCCCTCTTTTTTTGAAATTTTTGATTAATTAGCAAAAATGTATAAGAACATCGTTTGCAGGTGACATTACATGTTCATCTAATTATATGTGTTTGAGACACACGTGTTTTTTTCATTCGTCAGCGCGATTCTCTTTGTACTACAGCCAAGAGGTAGTCTCTTCTTCATTGAAATTGTGATTAATTAGCAAAAGCAAAAAAATGCATACTGTTTAAAGGTGACATTTCTACCTAACTTTATATCTTCGAAGCACTCGTGTTCTTCTTGCATTCGTCAACGCGATTCTCTTTTCTCTCGTGCTACAGTAATCATTAGAAAAAAACTAATGGTATAAAGAATATATTTTTCACTTATTAAGTATAATTTATTCACTAGCATGAAAATAAACATATAATATACACTTTTTATTCTTTTGTCACCATCGTTCGTTCACAAAGACTTCATCTTCTTCTTGCAACTGGTGTTTATTCTCCATAAATTCCAATATACACGCTCTGCAGTCGTCAGCTGGTCCATTGATTTTAAATATTGGTGTAGCGCACGTCATACACACATTGCCTACGGTAAAAAAAATAATGTACTGTATAGAGAATGTGTATTTGCGCATGGGACGAACAAATCTATTGGTTCTTGTTCATAACATTCCACGCATATTCGTCGTCGCGATATGCGTTGCTCCAGATAAAACACTCGTATCTGCGGATCGGCAATTTGAAGACAAACATAATGGAGCAGATCATGATAAACCTCAGGATAGTCTCTTGGTCGAACACCATCGATCTGATCAAAATAATCTTCCTCCATCTCGTATTCTGTCAGTTTCATGTCTAAACAACATAGAAAAAGATAAGCAGTCAAAATGAAATAAAAAACAGCATAAAAATGTCGCATTCGGTACTTACGTCGTGAAATTCTTCGTATGTCTTCTTTTATAACACTTTGTATTAAGAGTCGATTGACGTATAAACGCGAAATAAAAATTCTTAAATACTAATCGCCCCACTATTTTATCTAATTTAATTGATCAATAGATAGCCTCTCTTCTCCATTAAAATTTTGATTATTTAGCAAATAATCAAAATAATAATTTCATTTAGATGCATTATTTTGATCACGATTGACGTGTTCTTTCTAACACGATCAATTTTTGCAAACAACTCTTTGTATACACTTCCATCTAATCTGTTTCTTCGAAACACACTTGGTCCACTTATAAAGTTGCGGTTTTCGGCATGTTCATTGTGATGAGTAGCATGTTAAAGTCATGATAATGCTATTCTTGAAACGTAGGTAGACAATCATCAGTGAAACAGATAGACCAGGTACAGACGTTGCAGTCTGATAAAGTTCATCATCCTTAAGGAGAAGAGACACACAGAGTTTTAATACACTTAAAGAATGGAGTATAAAAAGAAGCGGCACTTGACGACTGTTCATTAGTCTCATTTACGACAGAACAACGTCAAGTATGGACCACATCGGCGCTGCACATATAATTTGCGAAAGAGTAGTGCCAGCAGCATTTGTTCTTTCGCATATAGTTAATAAGTTAGCTCAAAGTATCGATAGACTGCAACATTGGCTGGAGAACTTTATAGAGCGAAATCCAACAACAGAAGTCAAGTTGGAAGACGGCGCTCACCTTCCTACACATTTGTGAGTATATCGACATATAAACTATACTCTCAAAAAGAGATAATAGTGCTGTGTGTTATCGTTTATATATGTTTAATATTTTGTTTGTTTCAGAGCAATCGCCAACCACATAATCCGAGATCTCATGGAGGTTCTCCAGACGGAAGCAGAAAAAATAGAAGAAATGGAGGGCGTAGTGGCGGAGGCATTAGGCATTCAATATGCTCATGAAAATACTCCGCCTCCAGATTCACGATAGGTATGTCTTATTAACAGATCTTATTGAGCTGTGTCAGCACAACCTCATGTGACACTACCGCCGGATGAACTACTCCTCGCTTTAAGTGTAGCAAAAACTCTATCAACTGTTCAGCATCTCTTAACAGATCTGACACTACTGCGTTAACCGTTTCGAAGTACTCACTTAA